GCCACTTTCATATTTGGCTGAAACTTTAACCTTTTTTTTTTACAATAAACTTATCAAATTAGACGTCTGTTTCTTAAATGTATTTTTCTCATTCCATGTATTCATAACTACACATTAAACACTGAATGTGGAGCTAAAACTAGGTGTAAGAACTAAGAATATAAAAGAAAACTGATAAATTTACACACCTGTAACTGCACCATGAATATATTGTACATCTTAACATATTGTGCATTATAGAATTCACCGAAACTAAGTGCTGCAACCTGAAAACCAAAATCGCAGATATAAATACTAAATAATTGGAAGCAGCAATATCACAAGATCTCCTCGTTGCTTTTTGCATACGTGCAACAACCACATAATTGCTTAATACAAATGGAATAACAATGTACCTCCGTTAGACATTGAAGGGCAAGATTCCGATATAAAGGCATGGGAAAAAACTTCAGAAGGGTTTCAAGCTGTAAAATACAGACACAATATAGAAAGATAAGGATAAATCATTTGGAAGGGTAATCAAGAACCACAACAGTGTTATACGCACCAAAGGGGACTCAAAAATATAGCCCAGGGGAATCCATGAAAGGAAAGCATGCAATGTGGATAAAGTTGCACGTATCAGCTCAGTTCGTTGAGAGGCTGATAGTACATATAAGCACAACTCATGAATGAGTTGAAACTCACTGCAAAAAGAAAAAAGAAAATCAAACACAATAGAGAGTAAATAAACACATTAAACAAACCCAATAAATCAACAAGTAAAAGTATGGCATGTCAGAAACAGAATAAATTGACACCCCCATCCAATTAAGAACAAAGATACCAAATTCAGCAGCCAATAACCTGTTCAATGATTGTTTAAGCTCTTTAATCTTCAACTGTGTCATTTCCCCCCTTGAGAAATCAAAAACCTCTTCACTTAGGAGCTGAAGGTAACACATTCAAGCAATTAGTACCGACCCAATGAAGCCATAATCAATTGGATTTCAATCTTTAACATTCAACATTAAAAACACTTACCTTCAATATGGCCATACAATTCTCGCAAATGGTTTCACTAGTTTTAGCTGCTGATACAAGATCTGGAATAAAGCTTCGCCATTTAGTCGGCCAATCATGCTTCAAAATCTGTACATGGAGTAATGTCGATATATTACATCACAAACATATCCAAAGCAAGCAATTACAGATTTGAATATAACAAGTAAATTTCAGATACTATCAAATAGAAAAAGCCAACAGACAAACAGAAAAGAAAACAAAGTGCTTGATACAACAAACTAACCAAAAAAAGCAACAAATGCAATAATCCTAATGGGAGAGAAAGAAGGAAATACCTGAACCAGTATAATATTGAGTTTGCTGACATAAAGTCTTTCCATTCGAAAAGAGGCCTCATTACTTGATAGCTTCACAAAAGGAACCAAAGGTAAGAAAGGAAATTTACTACACGACTATCTAAACGAGCAAAACTTGCAATCCTCATATATTTACTGCATGATTCATACCTGTACAATGACATCAGAGATATAATTTTTCATTCCGTCTCTCTGTTCAACAGGCAATGCATTCCACCTATACTTGATAACCCCTTCTAGGACCTGAATGTGGATGCAAAGAAAACCCTCATAATATCAGCACCTTAAATTACAATTAGAAAGATTTATACGGGTTGTAATGAAAAGCTGCATAGAATTTTTTCCAAAGCACCAAACCATGAGAAAGCCAATGAATATGCAACAAGATTAGATGGTATAAGCATTCTGTAGACTTTATCTGATGCCTTGTTTAACAAAGAACAAAATCTACACCTAAGCAGTCAACTTGATTATTATTGTTGTTGTTGTACCCACATAAAGGCATTCTATTTTTGGCTTGCTTCAGCCTTGCTGCCCAACTGCAAGGACCATCTGGGCATCTGACAGTGGCCTTGTTAGACAAAAAGTAAATGCACTGGTCATAGATTGTTATGCAACACAACTGACCTGCAGGGCAAAGAACTTGGTGTTTAGGTTCTTTGCGCTCTGTAAAATGTGCACAACTTGGAGCCACATATCAGGATTGTTTTGCAAGTCCCTCAATATCTGGTCTGCAGCTGTCCTCTGTATTGTCAACACATGGAGCAAAATTACTCTTAGAACATAAAATACTTGGAGAACTAAACTAAGGGCCACAAAATTACAAGTTAAGCATATAATTTACCAACACCTCCGTTATTCAAATACCATATGAATACTAATAATCGTTTTGGTAAGGGAAGCTGAAATGTTTTTGTAAACCTAGTTCGTCTAAACAAAGAGCAATCCTGGTATTAAGCATTCAATAAACATTGCAATGCATTCATATTTTTTCAAACAGAATAATGTAATGCAGTCACAAAATAACCAGTTCACCATCATTACTCAATCATGGTATGTTTAGTTCCGGAAGTGTTGAGGATGAAAGATTGATTATTCCAAATTTTATACTGAAACCGATTACCAATTCACTTAATAGTATATGAATTATTTGAGAGCATACAATTTTACGCGGCGTGACCATTAAAATATCTCTCTTCCAAACCCACCGAACCTAACAACCCAAAAATAGGCATATAGCTAATGTCCAGTAATCCATCAAACGCTCAAATGTTCCCCGATGAAAGACATTGAAGTTAGGCTCCATTTTCCCCTAAAGTAAAAACTCCCCAAATGAAGGTTTTCAAGTGTTCAACCCTAGGGCTGAGAACTTCAATTTCCCCTCAACCTCTAAGAACCCAAACAGAAAGCTTAAACCCTCGGCACAAAAACCCCGATTGCAGTTGCAAATTGGGCACACTTGGTCGGAAAACAAACAGAAAGTAAAGATAGACAGAAGCAGCAATCGCTCACCTCCTCCTTAGATCCGGTGCCGTAGAAGGCGACGACGGTGGCATCGAGCAAGCCAACGTCAATCGGCTGGCTCAAGTCCCTTAGCTTCTCAGCCGCCATAGCCACTGAGTGAGCAAGAGAGAAAGAAAAGGAAGGACGATCGTAGAGACCCAAACCGATAAACCCTAGAGGGCGATAGCTGGTGTGGAGACGACGAAACAGAGACACCTGAAACCACCCAAACCCTAGGAGAGAGAAGGAAAGAGAATAGTGCCGAGGAAGCAGCGAACGGGTGTGTGGGTATTTATTTATATATTAATTAGAGGAAAAAGGATATAGAGAGAGAGAAAAGGGGGGGGAGGGAAATAAAGACAGCTTGAAAATGAAGCAGTAGAGAGAGATGTAGGAGGACGAGGAGCGTACGAGAGCGAGAGAGCGAGAGAGCGAGAGAGCGGGCGAGAGAGCGGGCGACTGATGGAGCGAGTAGCAACTTGGGTTGCGTTTGTAATTGTAGAGTAGAATAGGGTGGGGTTTGAATTTTCGGTTTCTTTTCCCGTTTTGTGTTTGTTTGCCTCCCTCTCCGCTCTCTTCTTATTTTTTGGGTTTCGTTTGTGTGTGCGCGCGGTTGTATAAATGTTGTTGGTGCGTGCGTGACCAAAAGTAAAAGTTCGTTTGAGGGCCCTAAGAATATGGTGAATATAACAAATTCTTCTGATAGGCTTTTGTTTCGGGTTATTCGTCCGCTCACGACATACAAAAAACGAACCTCTGATATTGGAGTCCAACAAAATAGATTTGAAATTTTAATAAGGTTGCTTTTTTTAGGACAGCACTCAAAAAGATGATGATAAACGTTAGGTCGTGTAGAATGAGATCGAATACAAGAGTCTTCATACTTCTTAAAAAAGGTTTTACGAATAACGTGTTCAAGATTTTCTTACTTTAGTTTTTCTCATGAAAAAATGGGGATACGACACCTAAATGCATGTGTGCTAGCGGACAAGTGACATGTCACATAAGTTTCTACCCAATCAATGGTGCCCACAACAAGAAAAATGAGATGGAGCCAAATACGGCTATAGATTTATATACACAGAGTACGTCATTATGTTTGTAATTGATATCATCACGCATTATCATGTGAGAAATATACATAACGTTGTAATATTGTAATTTTTTGTTCACTTATTTATCAAATAATCTCTACTAATTAAAAAAACACTCATTGTCAATCAAAATCTTATAAAATTATCAGTTTAACCTTCTAATTAAAACAGAACATGAATAAGAAATATGGGACAGAAATGTAATTTCACACAACCAAAATTTGGTGTTTTTTTTATCAAAACATCACCTACATGTAATCTTAACATATCTCTAATTAAAAAATAAAAAAAAAAACTTCTCACTCCCACATTGTCTATCATTCTCTTCCTCTTTCGTTCTATTTCAAAAACAAAAATAAAAAACTTTCTCACACTTTATATGTGACCATATGCTAGTATTTTTATTATATTTTAATAAATTTTTAGATAATATATGAATTAGCGGACGAAATTTAAAAATGCAATAAAAAGTAAAGGGTAGGGCCGGTGTGCGTGCTTGTGACGCTATAGTTGAAGCTGCTCGTATTGTCACTCTAAGATTGGTCCACTAATTTTTTAATTGGGTTTGAACTTCTTTTTACAGGGTGGAAAGCGGGGATTTTCTTTTTGTTTTTTTCTTTTTTCAATTTCTGTTTTAAGGTTGGAAGGGATATCTGATCTGGGTTAAGCCTCGAGAATCTGCTCGAATATTATTGGATCCGAGTTGGCACTGATTGCCGGCGCTTTAACTCGGGCTGACATATTTGGGCTTTTAAAAGTAGCGATTTATTACTTGGGCTTTATGAGATTTTAGCCCGATTGTCAGCTACGACGACTTATGTTCTTCAATTACGGGCCTGTTTGAGATTGGAGTGACTGAATCGCTTTCTATCAATGAAAAAGATTTTCTAGCCACGTCGAAAACTTGAAGATGCCTATGACTTGTACAAGCACTATTTATAAAAGCACTTATTAACATGTTTAAACGCGTTCATAATTAAAGCGCCTCTAGTATATTCTAATCGTGACATTTATTCACCCGCATGCAAAATCAGGCAGCTCGTTTCAAACTTCAAACTCAAAATGTTGGACAAACAGGGTAAAAAATGCTTACATTGTTGGGATTGAAAGTCCGATAACATTTCTGCTCTGCTGAAGGAAAACGAAACCCAACAAGGAAAGGAAGAGCAGGAAAGAAGCAACGAAATCCGAAACGAAACGGAGATTTTCGAGTTAGAGAAGAAGCCATGAATCTGTTTAGGTTGGCTGGAGACATAACCCACTTGTTGAGCATATTGGTCCTGTTCCTTAAGATCCGCTCCACCAAATCTTGTGCAGGTATCAATATGTTCAAATGTATATTTTAGCCGAGAGTTAGTGATTGGCATTAGCATGTATTGTGTCTCGTGTCCGCTTTGAATGAAGTAATGAAACTTGGACTACAGATATGTAATGCTGAAACTTGTAATCCCCAATTGATCGATTCTCGTTTCTTAAACATTTGTACTTTTAGAATTAGAAGGGTGACTTGCTACTTCGTTACTCATTTGAAATGTTCAGTTCTCTTTGTGATTGTTTTAATTATTGCTAATTTGCAAATGGTTTGATTAGTTCTTTTTTAACATCATTCATTCATGATGCTTATTCAGTTGCAATGGAGGATTCATTAGCTTGAAAGTTTTGAATTTCTTCACATGCTGATGAACATATAGCTTTTCAATACTAATTTGATAGAGGAAAGAAGGTTCATCAGTTTCAAACACTCTTGGAACATTAATGTCAAAACTCAACTTTCTTAATTTTCTGAATTCCTTTGTAAACCTTTAAGTTAGTGATGGATTATGTAGGAGGGGCCAAAGGTCCACTTCCAACAACACCAACATTGTCCCAAACTTGGTAATTACCACCTGCACAATCCGTCAGGTGTGGGGTTTTATCACAAACGGCCTCGGTCTTAGTTGGAGTAGGGTTAGGATATTTAAACTCTTCCTTTCTTTCTCTAGCCGATGTGGGATTTCAACAGATTATAGGTCGTTTGCAGAGCTAATTATTCCCATCTGCAAATGTAAATATACCACCTTGTTTAGTTGGTGGTTCTCCAGAAATGGAATGTTCGATCTGTTCCATGCCTCTCTTAAGTCTAATACTAGTTCACTTGCACCAGGAATTTCACTCAAAACTCAAGAACTCTATGCGTTGGTCTTTCTTACTCGATACCTTGACTTGATCGTCAAGTATTACTCAGTGTACAACACTCTGGGGAAGCTCATCTTTATCGGAACTTCTTTTGCCACGGTCTGGCACATGAGGTACCATAAAGTAGTGAAGCAAACCTACAACAAGGATCAAGATACTTTCAGACATTACTATCTCATACTTTTATCCTTGGGGCTGGCTCTTCTGATTCCGCGTGCTTTTACTGTAATTGAGGTACATTGCATTTATCTTGCCCTTTCTTTTGCCTTAAGTTACCAGTTTTGTACGATGATGCTCCTTTTTACACCTGTCTGATTAGAACTTGATCTATTGTAATAGGTTCTGTGGGCATTTTCAATATATCTTGAAGCTGTGGCAATCTTACCACAGTTGGTATTACTGCAGAGGTCAAGAAACATTGACAACTTAACTGGAAATTATGTTTTCCTTCTCGGGTATGTTCCAACTCCGCTGAGGCAATGCATTTGCTCATGATTCTCGGATTTCTGCTCATGTGATTATCTGTGGTGTTATTTTTGTTTGGTAACATTGTGCAGTGCTTATCGTTCTTTATATCTTGTCAACTGGATTTATCGTTTCTTCACAGAACTCCACAGAGTTCGCTGGATACGTAAGTTATCCTTACATATAGCTTCCACTTAATAATCTTCTAGTGCATTTTTAGCCAGAGTGAACTAATTTGTTGTAAAATGCCCAACACACAGCTTGGATTTCAGGCCTTGTTCAGACTGCTCTTTATGCTGATTTTTTCTACTACTATATCAAGAGGTAACTTCACTCGACTCTCTCGTCTCCCCATAAGAGTAGTTTGTATCATACCTGTGCGCCGAAACAAGAAATGTGAATACGTAGCAATGGCTTTGGTCTTGTAGCATATTTCCATACGCAGTGGTGTAACAAATTATGACACTAATTCGATGGTGACACAAATTATGATACCGAATCATCAACTTTGGTAGATGATGTTGTATTCTAATAACAAGCTGGTCTGCTTTTTCTTCAGCTGGAAGGAACACGAGGAGCTTAAGCTTCCCGCTTGACGTGGATCATTCTGGATGTGTAGTTTCCACCCCACTGGAAGGCAACAGAAGAGGAATGCATTATGCATACATACTTGAGGACATACAGAGCCAAAAGTTAACCATTGTTGTCACTGTTGGGGGATTTTCTCCACATTAATGGATTAGATCTGATAAGATCTTGTTAATTATTTACTAATTTAACGAACCACTCTCACCTGATCGTAAATAAATTAGATTTTTATTTGGTTGTCAATTTTGGAATGTGTATTATATTTCTCAGTATATATGTATAATATAACGATGTTGAAACATATACGTCACTTACGATATATCAGATCTCTATCAACATATTATATACCTCCATATTTCAAGGAAGAAACCAAGAGGGAACAAGTGTATTCTGGTCACTCTAAACCATACGCGGAAGGAGCGCAGGTTGATTTTGTTAAACACATAGAGATTGATGTTCCCTCAAAGTTGTTCTCTAAACCAAAATTTTAGGTAGGAGCTGATCAGAATTGGGAATGAGCTAATCCCATGTCAAGTTATAAGTCTTACAAATTACAACCACGTTGCTGTTGAGAATAAGTTAAGGAAGGGAAGATAATTAAGATGGAAAGGATGCGCAAACTCTGTTGGTTTACTTTAGCTCTCCCTTTTGTTGGCAGCATTATCAGAAGCCGACGCCAAGCCCAGCTTCCAGAAAGGAAAAGTATCATGTTCGGTGGTCAAATACTGGTCTGCGAGTTCCCAAGGATCATGTTCTTTTATCCTACCAAATCCAAGACCATTCTCAGTGGGAAAAAGTGAACTTGAGGTATGCGTAAACAACGAAGTTTCTGCTAATAGCTGCAACACCACTAGAACTGGAGCAGCACTATTAATGTTGCGCTCTGGTCCTGGCACCCACAACACAGCATCTGAGACCAAGTACTTGACTGCCACACCGCATGCAATCTCCGACACTGCAGACAAGTTCACAATCATACGCATGGGTTGTTGCAATTCTTCCACTCCCAAAGGGGAAGGCAATATTAAGTCTCCGGTGCCTGAGGCAGTGATTACTGGAAACATAACTGTTGCAGCTACTTCCATTTTCTGGTTTGTTATGGGATTGGGTGCCACAGCATCCAAGTCCAGGCTGATCTGTCCTCCGTTGACAGTAGCAAACATCACCAGCACGCGACAGCGGAGTTGGATTTCTTTGCTCATTTCTTATGTTTGGGATCTCCGGGGTTTATTTCAGTGTGAAGAAACATAAGTTCATTAATCTCAAAGCCAAGTTCTTCCGAAAAATGGAGGTTTATTATTAGAGCAGCACATTTCTTCACATGGAAGCCCAAATATTTTTACATCCGAAGAGCTAAAGGTGGCTGCTGACCATTACAGCCAGATTCACACTTTTAGTCCAGTAGAGAGTGGACAGGTTCACAAAGGACTTTTGTCAAACTGTGCGATTATGGCCATAACGGAAACAGTAGTGCAGGAGGGCCAAATCAGGCGTTTTATAAATGAGATTGTCACTCTTACCAAAATCAACCATGAAAATGTGGTGAAGTTCTTGGGCTGCTGTTTAGAGACCGAAGCACTCATGTTGGTCTATGTACTCGCCTGCAACGTGACCTTGTTTGACTACATTCATCATGTTAATGGGAAAAAAAGCATTGCCTTGGCATATTCTGTTAAAATGCATGAAATAAACATGTTGGAATAATTGTAGGCTAGTCAATTTTCTTGTTCAAAGTTAGGCAAGTTACCATAGTCAAGCAAGTTAGGTAAGTTAGGCAAAATTAGGTTTATGTTCTTTTTCTTCCCTATATATATGTTTCATCTTGTAATTGTTTCATTAAGCAATTCATCTTGTAATTGTTTCATCAAGCAAATATGTAAGGTTCATATTTTAACATGGTATCAGAGCATCGTTTCTGGTGACTCTGAATACCCCACCTATCTTCAACGCTTCCGCACCACAACCAACAACATCGTCATCATGAGTGATTCAGGAACCAACACAAAACCATTAGAGATGGCTACTGATCTCTCGACCAAATGGCTGTTCAAAATACCTTCCTCCATGGAGATCGTGGGGAAGAAGTCTATATGCAACTGCCTCCTATTCAAAATACCTTCCTCCATGGAGATCGTGGGGAAGAAGTTTATATGCAACTGCCTCCTGGTCTTCGTCGTCAGGGGGAACACAATGCACAAACGACTCAACAAGTCACTTTACGGGCTTAAACAAGCCTACGACTCAACAAGTCACTTTACGGGCTTAAACAAGCCTCTCGAAGCTGGTTTCACAAACGACTCAACAAGTCACTTTACAGGCTTAAACAAGCCTCTCGAAGCTGGTTTCACAAATTTTCCACTGCTATACACCAAGATGGGTGTCAAACCTGCAAAAATTTCCTATGGAAGAAAATTTGAAGTTATCTCCAACGGAAGGGCAAGTTCTCCATGATGCCTCGAAGTATAGGAGACTTGTTGGACAAGGGATGTTTCACTCATTACTTGGCAAGTTGGGTGTCATCGACATTCACACTCCAACTTGAGGGGGAGTGTTAAAATGCATGAAATAAACATGTTGGAATAATTGTAGGCTAGTCAATTTTCTTGTTCAAAGTTAGGCAAGTTACCATAGTCAAGCAAGTTAGGTAAGTTAGGCAAAATTAGGTTTATGTTCTTTTTCTTCCCTATATATATGTTTCATCTTGTAATTGTTTCAAAGTTAGGCAAGTTACCATAGTCAAGCAAGTTAGGTAAGTTAGGCAAAATTAGGTTTATGTTCTTTTTCTTCCCTATATATATGTTTCATCTTGTAATTGTTTCATTAAGCAATTCATCTTGTAATTGTTTCATCAAGCAAATATGTAAGGTTCATATTTTAACATATTCTTTTAAAGATAGCCTCAGAATCTGCTGCTGCTCTTGCTTATCTGCATTCTGCAGCAGAGACATCAAAACCAATGATCATTCATGGAAATGTCAACTCTTCCAACATATTATTAAGTGATTGTTTTGTGGCCAAGGTCTTCGGTTTTGGATCTTCCAGGTTGGTCCGGGTCCCTAGTAATGAATCCCAGATGAACACATTGGTACAGCAGACAGTTGGTTATCTAGACCCCGAATATCTCCAAACAGGCCAGTTGACAGATAAGAGTGATGTTTATAGCTTCGGAGTCGTCTTATTAGAAACTTTGACGGGAGAGATGCCATTGTCCTTTAACAGACCAGAAAACCGGAGAATCATAACATCCCATTTCGTTTCTTCTGTAGAATAAAATGACATCTTTCAGATCGTTGTGCCACTAGTAAACGAGGGTAACAGAGAGCAACTCAGAGCAGTTGCAGAGCCTGCAAAGAGTTGCCTCAAGTTGAGTAGTGCCGAAAGGCCCGCGATGGAAGAAGTGGCAGGGGAATTGAGGAGGTTGTGTGGCAGCACACATTCTTCCTAAGCTAATTCAAGCCGACAACTATTGAAAGTATATGTTTTGGCCAATGATCTAATGGTTAAAACTTCAGAGTATAAAATAAGCTTACCACTAGAGTTGTTTTAGATAATCCATTGCGTATGGGCTGTGGCTGTCAGCTTTGTTTCTTTTTCATGAACCATGTATATTTGAAAGTTGAACCAATCTTTGAAAATAAGGCAAAGTAAATTTCAATTTTAGTGCTAATTCAACGCGCATTGATCGTCATTTTTTTGATGGAAAATTTTCATCTTGTTCTTCAGTCGTCGACGGCCACCAAGTTGGTGACAATACAAAACCAGGTAAATTTTTATGACATTAATATCCTGGGCAAGGCCACTGCCAGTCAGAGTTCCTAGTACAAAATGGTATTGAAGGACTAACTACATGTAGTCCAAATTTATTGCCATGAACAAGTTCAACAATAGAGTACTACAAACCAACGGAAGATAAACTATGAACACTATTTTATTAAACATAAAACAAATAATTAGGGTTGCCGAGACAGCTACAAACTGAAGCTACATATATAAACATTATATATATAGTGAAAACTAAAGCAAACTCAAGTCTTAACGGGTAAGAAACTATAATATCCTTAGCCCAAAAGAAATCATACATAATAATACTTTTTATTAAATAATTTTCCAACACTATCCAGCTTGAACGCTTTATAACCGTTTTTAACATGGAGGCATTCCTTGTGGCGGAGGTAACATTTGCTCTCCTAGGCCCTTTCCATTTTTCACTATGAACGTCACGTCCATGCCCCATGACATATGTCGATCCAGATGACAGTGCATAAACCAAACGCCTACACACAACAAGAAGAAGAACAACAATTTAAATGATCTAATTATCATTCATTAATATATAACGAATTAGGGGCTGTTAACTAAAATTGGAAACTGGAAAATGATATGGTTATTATCAAACGGCACTAGAGATGATGAACGTCTTCAGTAATTACGTACCAGGATTGTTTGCCCTGAATCTAATGGTAGTCCAACCATTTATAGGGACAGCGATGGTGTTTTGAAGAGGAGGATTAACAAGATTATACGTCAAAGGGTCCTTGTCCTTGTCAAAATTCCCAAGCCCCCGTCCCACAACGTAGAAACTGAATCCGTGGAGATGCATCGGATGGTCATCTCCTCCGAACAAATTTGTCCCCTGAAACACAATTTCCACAGTTGAGTTGTACTCCAGTATCTTCACCTCCGTCCCTTGCTTCGGCGTCTGTAGGTACAACGGCAAGTCCTGAGCTGTAAAATTAAACAGCAAGGGAGGGGAATTTGGAAAGCGAGTTCCAAATGCCCCATTGACATGGAAATAGTAAGCTTGCAATATGTCAATGGTAGGGTCGACAAGGCTAATGTTGTTGATACTGGAGGCAAAACGTGTCCCATTAGGCCCAGTACATGAATTAGTCGGGCAGGGTAGTGTGTTGATGGATATTGTAAAAAACAAATGAGTTGTTATGTTGTGTGGCACGTCAACAGGGTGGTTTTTATCAGCCAAGCTTTTGAGTTTACTGGTAAAGTGAACTGATGCGTTGGTGTCGTTATGGGAAGGAAGATATGGCAACGAAGTAGGGGTTGAACTAGAATTTCTGTTGTATCGGAGTAATGCGGTGGTGGTTGTGTTGTCGTAGGGAATTCTAGCCGAGGCAACATAGGCTTTAGCAGCAATGTAGTAGTTGTTGGGGCTTTGGTCTGCATTTAACAAGAGATCAATAGTTTGCCCGGGAGATATGGTTACATAATTTGTTGAAAATGGCTTG